ATTAACCCGTGGCCTATTACTACTCTATATTTAAGAGCTTTTATAATTAATAGGTAACGGGTTACTATTCTTTATTAACTTATTATAATAAAATTATTATAATAGTTTTAACCGAAGCGTTAGTTTTTATTTATATAATATGTTATAGGTTTTAGTACGTAAGTACGGTTACTAAGGTAAAAGCGACTTTTAATTAATTAAATACCTTATTTACTTTTTTAGTTTATTAGAAATCCTTTACTTACCCCTTTTTTATTTTTAGTAATACTATTATTGGTATAACGATACCCGAGTATTTAGTAATGAACTTTTAATAGAAGTTATAGAACCTTAAGAATACTTAGATATCCTTAATAAACTCTGGCGCTTTTTAGTTAGCGATTGTTCGTATTCGTAATAGGTTAATCTCGATTCTTTTTAGTATAATAATATAACTTAGGAATTCGACCCTTTTTTAATAAAACGAGTACTTTGATAGTTTAATAAAAAGCCCGTATAACCGTAGCTATTAAAGGACCTTTTTAATATCCTCTATATACTACTCCTTTATTATTAAGTAAATTATTAAATTATTTATATATACTATATAATAAGTATTTAGTAAGTTAGCGAGCGTTCGGTAAATATATACTTAGAATATTATAGGTGCGTTCGTTAGCTTAAAAAGTATAATAGTATATTTAAAATAGCTATATCGGTTTTAAAACGCTATTTTTTATTAGTTTTTTTTTTTAATCCGGATATAGTAATAAGTATCCCTAATATTTATTTTTAAGATCTATTTTACTTTATAAAGCTTATTTAGGAGTTTATTGATAAGCAGTAGTAAGTATTAATTTTTTATAATTATTTTATTTAGCCCGTAGTAGTTTATATAAAAGCGTAGCGTATTATCCTTTTTTAATATAAATAGGATTAGTACCCTAGCTTTATTAACTAAAGGTATAATATAACCGTTCGTTAGGTTCTTAGTAATATATACGCGAAGCTTATTAAGTTATTTTTTATTTAGTGGATAAATAGGGCTATATAGCGGTTTAGTATTTAGAACTAGGTTAATTAAGTATTTTATCTCGCTATATAATTATGGTCCCTTTGCTAATTGCTCGTTAAACGTTTTTATTTCTAATCGAAGTTTTAGTAATAGACCTTTTTATAATTTAGTTTTTATTATCCTTGCGATACTTTTTATAGTAGCGATATATAATACGTAAGCCCTCTTATAATTTTTAATAATATTATAAACTATTATCTCTAGTTCGGTAATAGAAATAGGTTTATATAACTATATATTTGTTATAGTATTAATATAGATGCCCTCTTAGCCTATTAATAATTATAATAGTAAAAGGTTTACTATTGTTTTATTTTTATTAATTATAGCGAATAGTTACCGAATTTTTTTCGGTTACTTATAGTAATTAATAAAGAAAAGCGTTAATTAGTAAGCTTTTTCTTAGCTTATAGCTTTATTTTAAAAGTTTTTTAATAAAGGGGCTATAGTAGTAGCTAGGGTTAACCCTAAGTAGGTTACGAGCCTAGTATTAATAATATCTATTTCGGAGTATATATTTATATTAATTTTTACTAGCTTTTTAATAACCCCTCGCAGAACTATTACCCTACTTTTTATAATTATTCTTATTAGTACCTTCTTAATACTTAGTATAAGTATATTAGGTATATCGCTTATACTTATTCGTTTTTTAAAAAGTCGACTTTTATAACTCTCGGCTTAGTAATAACTTATTAAATAGTTATTAACGTTAGCTTCGATTGGGGGTATATTAGTTTATTATTACCCCGACCTCCCGACTTATTTTTTTAATACTTACTAAATATATAGCCTAATTTATTATACGTAAAGTATTTAATATTATTATTATAATACTTTTATAATAGCTTAGTATAAGTACTTTTATTATATAGCTTTTATAATATTATTCTTAGTGAGTTTTTAGAGCTTAGCCCCTTAGAGCTCTTTTTACTCTTTTTTTTATAAAAAGGGGATATTTAACGTGGTTATTTTAATAATAAATATAGCCTCTTTTTATTATTTTTTTATAACTAGTTGCCGCTTTTTTATTAATTTAACGATTATAATTTATTAGTTTTATAGGCTATATTACGTACTTTCTTAATTAAGACCTTATAATAAATTAGGTCGTCTTATAGTTAAGATAGTAATTTAAAAAAAAACTAGTATATTTCTATTTTTGAGTTTTTTATATTTTTTATATTTAAGTTATAATAAATTACTAATTATTTAGTAAGGAACTAGGTAGGGGTTTAACCCTTTTTTAGCTTTTTTATTTTTAGCTCTTTATAGTATTCCTGTTTTTATATCTCGGGGTCTACGTATTATTAGTGAACGAATATTAAGAAGTTACCCTAAGAGAGGGGATCTTAGAGGTTCTTTTTATAATTATACTATTATATTTATAACAATAGGGATATTTTAAATAGGGCCTATTTAATATACTATTTTATAATACTTTTTATACAAAAATTATTACTTATTTTTATAATAATAATCTAGTTTATTACTTAGGTATTCGTAAACTCTTTTCCGATCGGTTTATAATTATAAAAAAGAGGCTTTTTATATTTTTATTAACTTAAATATATTATTAGTTACTCGGTAAGTTATTAAATAAGCTCTTTATATTAACGCCGTTTTTAGTTTTAGTTTTTAACTATTATTTTTATTATTTTATAAAAATAGGTTATTATTAAGCTTATAGGGTCTACTAAACTAGCTATTTTAATACTATTTACGCTTTTATACGTACTTAGACTTCGTATATTTAGCGATTAGTTATTAATAAACGCCCCGTTTATAATAAATAGGGTCCTCGAGATATTAACGGGGTAATTAGCCCGTAAGGGTAATTTATCCCAATTATCTTTTTTATCTAGCTTTTTTATAAATACTAGCGTTTAAGTAGGACTTATTTTATAATAAGCTCGTTCCCCCGGACGGAATAGGGTTAAGTAATTAATTTTAAATAGTTATAGCTCGTTAGTACTAACGGTTTTTTATTAATAACTAAGTATTACTTCGTTAATATTCCGTTCGTTTTTATAATTTATTATTATTTATACTAGTTACTTTATAAAAGTAAAAGCTTTAAAATTATAAAAAATTAGGCTATAAGTACTTAACTAGCAAAGTTATAATATAGGTATAAGTATATTATAAAACTAAAGCTTATAGAGTCCTTTATATAAGCTCTGCTTTTTAAAAAGTTTTTTTATAATACGATCCGTATATTAGTTACTAAGTTATCGGTATCCTATTGCTGGTCGTATCTTAAATTTATTATAAATTACTCCTCGTATATTATTATAAAAAAAAATTTTTTTAATTATTATTTTTATTTTTATAATTTTATTAGTTTATTACTTATTATTTAGTTTAAGTATTAATAAGCGAGGGTAAGAGGTTTATTATTTTATTTAAAATTTATTAATATTCTTAGTAATATAATCCTTTTATATTATTATTATATAGTTCGTTTTATTATGCTCCGTTCTTATATTATTTATTAAAAAAGAGGTAATTTTAAAAGGTTTAATAAGAACGAGTCGTTTTTTTTTTATTATTATAATATTAATTATACTCTCTTATTACGTCTCGTTTTTATTAATATTTTAAGTTCCTAACTTAGTTTTTTTTATAAATAGAGATTTTAAATTATTAATAAATATATAATATAAGAAAAAAGCTTATAAAAACTAATTATTATTAAAATTTAAAAAATAAATTATTAAAATTTACTTTTTTCTTAAGATATATTACTAGCGCTCTATATATACTTAAGCTACTCCTTTATTACTTAGTCCCCCTCCTTATACCCCTTGAGCTATCCCTTAACCGACGGGGTCTAACTAGCGAGGCCTAATAACTCACTACCTCTAAATAGCGGTCTCTAGTTTTAAGCTAGGGACAGTGAAGCTATATCTTTTTTTTAATTAGGAAATCAAACTGCTTCAAAAGTTCGGAGACTATGGTGAGGGAGATGGCAAGTGAACAAAGCTTCTGCTAAGATGATCTACCTCGACCTTTCCATTGTGATTCGGCACCTCTCAGCACTATATACATCAGTGAACCAAGAGCAATTCCCAATTGCATACCGATATCGCCGGTCCGTACTGCAATGGGTACCTCGCAGTATCCATAGAAGGGACGATCAGTCCGAAAGAACAACAGAGCGATGCCAAGGCCGCGAATCCAAGCGGGAGTGCCTTTGGATTATCCCAGTCAGAGATGTTGTACGCAGAATACCGGCCCCGACGAAATCGGAAGTGCTCAGTAAGCGCGATACTAGTGTACGAAGCCGTCCAGTAGCCAACGAAGCTCAGGAAGTTCGATAGAGAGTTGCAAAAGTTGGAGCTGGCAACAATTGAGATGAGCACAATGATTGCCACAATAACAAGCGAGTATAGATACCGGGGAAGGCGACTGAGAATCGGATGAAGAGACTGAAAGCTAATAGAGAGCGAATATAGTGTGCAGGCTGTGAGACCAAGCACTAGAACGCCAACAGAACCGAGACGAACTTTCCAAATCCTCCTAGAGGAGTGTTCATGGCATTGATGATACCACCAACGGAGTAGAGACCATAGGCCTGAGCCCAAGTCTCGTTTGCTGGCACAGCGGCACCTGCAGCGGCACCTAGAATGAGTAGCAGAATTGAAGGGACACTGTACCCTACGTACACGCATAAGAAGATCTTGATTCTGTTGTAGATGGCGTAAGCCTAGTCCAGTCTCGGTGATGCGCAAGTCACGGCCTACCTTGGCGTGGATGGGTCGATGTAGACGGCGAAGTCCGATACCAACGGAGCCTAACTAGTACACAGACTTGCACACGCAGCGGCAAACGTCAAGACAGTCCTTGGTGAACTCGCAACAGTCTCGGCACCTGTACCAGCAAGCGCCTTGCCACTGACGCCGGCCACAATGACGAGAGCAACAAAAGATGGAGCCCACAAGTATCAATCAATGTAATGCAGATACTTGTGGCCCAAGAAGGATATGGGCAGTGCGCCAACAACACTGATTGTGATACCCAAAATCAAGCTGAGGTCGCCTTCAGAACCAGCCGTGAGAGTCGACCCACTGACAATAGATGTCATGATGGTGTAACCGATCAAGGTGGCGATTTGTAGCAGCGCAATGCCGATGGAAAGGTAGTAGCTGGTTTCCGAGTTAGCTACAATGAAAGAAACCTTCATCAAGCGTGAGATTGAGTAATACCAGAAGTAGTATCTAGTCTGAGCCATTTGACTCATGCCAGTCTTCGGCCCCATCATTCTCATCCAGGCAACGGGAAGGATGAATAAGAGGGTGCTTAGCACGATGACTACTGAAGCAACTGTAGGATCTAGTCCAAGCTTAGGGTTCCGGATATGCCAGTGGTCATACTTATGGTATTCATCAGCTTGGCGAACTATAGCAAGTCTTACGCGCGGAGGTGCCATAATTCAGGAAGAAATTTCGAAGCATACGGGAGGGTAGTGCAGTTTGCAGTGAGCCACAACGTGAATAGTTTAAAAGTATCCTTGTCGCTTCTCTCTTCGATCGGAACAGGTGCCACGCCTCGAGTCTCAGCAGAGCGCAACAAGGCGTTCCGTAACCTGGTAAGCCAGTTCTTCGATGGGAGGCTCTGAGAGCCTGGTCCAGATAGGCATTGTCGACGTCCTCTTCGAGCCTATTCTAAAGGTCGACTGAATGTGTCTTTTCGTGTCTTGTGGTCATCGTTTCTACGCGTGTGAGGCAGGTGAGAATCTCAGTTGGCTGGATGGCACATCTGCTAGGAGCATATTGCTGGATCTTCCCGCGACTCAGTCTCAGAGGCAAGGCGCGAACGCTTCTTCATAATGTCTAGTACAGTTGAAAGTCTCTCTATACTCTGTGCATCATTGGGCGCGGCATATCGAGTTCTATCCTACACAGCGAGGGACACGTAAATCATCTTCGGATGATAACACGGATTAGTGCGCCAATCTATTAACCCTTCCCCCAGGATGCTCCATTCCCAAGATAAAACAATGCTATTATCTTATCATTGCAATCATTTGGTAGCAGATTGAAGTCAGGTATCCTGTCAAGTAAAGACATGACACCGGTTGCGTGAACACTGGGTCGTGTACGGGCTGGGGATGAGAAGATAACCCCCACACCTTACCGCGCGGAAGACGAATTCCGCAAGATCGTTTTCCTTGAAACGGGTCAGTCTCCAGCTTCAAATCTCCAAAGATTTAACCATCTTTGAATAAGCCAGATAAGAAGGCTGGATCCCAGATATTGAGTAGAGATAGGCTAGTCTCTAGCATCCTGCCGACTTGTTGATTTTTAGATACCGATGCCGTTCTACTACCTATATTACAATGTCAATATATTGCGCAATAACTTTGGCTTCGGACACACAGGGAGTTTGAGCGCGACTCAAAGCATTCTGACAACGTTGTGTCGTTTTATTTGATAAAGAGGAATGGCACGCTTTGATAGTTCAGTGTCGTCAATCCCTATAAGCAATAATCTGACCTCGCAGAACAAGACCTTAAGGCTCATCAATACTAATATTCAACTGTCCGATAGTCGTGATTCTCAAGCTCTCTGACCTACGCATCAGGCTTCACAGCCGCCCTCTGTCTTTACCTAAGAGTCGATCGAGTTTTATTATGTATTGATTAAGTGACACATCTACCATATATTTAAGAAATCATAATGGTCAGGTTGATTCCCACGTTTTAGTGCTGAGAGTCTCCTGTGAGTCATCCAGTCGTCGTGGGTTCAGCCTATGGATGCCCCTGAGGCATCTCATCAACGTCTCCGCTCAAGAGGCGTCGAAACATCTACTTTGTGCTATATGATGTGTCGAGATGATCGTAGGGGTTGAGTGAAGTGCATCGACGGTTTGTTTGTAGTTGGCTGGTAGACCACGGCTTCAAAAGTGCAAAAATGCTCCTCATCATCAAAGGCATGTTCCCACACCGAGGTTCGAACTCGGGTCTCTCCGGAACGCTTTCACGAGACTGAAAGCGGAGTATCCTAACCACTGGACTATATGGGATATCGTCTAGGTATCCCGATGAACTGAAGTGATCGAGCGATGTGATCGTCAGATATCAGAAGCAGGGAGTGCGCGCGAACTTTGCTCCTCTGGGAATTCGACGCTTGCGCGAGAATCAAATTCGGTGAGAGGAAATAGAGTCGTCGTCACGACTTCTAGGGTGTGCGTGACCACAGCTTCTGGAGTTGCCAACTTGAAAGCTTGGCCTTTTCATAAGCTAAGGTACAGTACAAAACATGGACCTGCTTCAGTGGAGGAAGACATCGCAGCCCCGGAGCCTCTCTCAAATTGCTCATTCCTAATTTCCATATTTGTCTTTGACATGTTCTATCAAAATGCTCAGTAAGTATATTCTCTTCTGGTTAGCAACGCAGAGCTCTTAGGTATTTCAGTCACGACTCCTTTGAGGAATATCGACTGCCTTCAAGTTATTCGTATTTAGAGTTGAGTGTCTAGCAATAGCCCACAACCATTTAATCACTCCAAACCGACCAGTATCCTTTGCTCTTCCACAATCCGCCACTGGCCGTCTGCTAGTTCATACTTTCTCCTAAACACCTCATCCTCGTATTGAACAACCTCTTTATTGACCAGAACTGCACCAGCATGATCGTCGACTCTCCAGTCGTTTTCTGCGCGGAGGTCTTGGCTGGTCTTTGAAATGGCGGCGAACAATTTGGTATCCCAAATGCCATCCCGGCGGGGAAAGTCCCTGAGCAGACGGTGAGCCTCTTTTCTAACGTCTGCATCGACACAATAGATGCTCGCAGAAAGAATGGCCCAGCTCGGGCTGGTTTCCATAGTAAAAACCTCCCTGGATGGGTCCATATTTGATTGTCCCTCGAGAACGATCCTACTCATAGCGAGTATCTCACTAAATTCCTCTGTCGACTCGACTAGGACTTCTGTGTTTGTGTATTGAGAGCTCTTCACAGAAATGACGAGTGACTTGTATAAAAGCTGAAGGCTCAACTTTTGTAGGCTTGCTCGATCATTGTGCACTGCCTCTGTCGGAGACCTTGTGATTGATAACGCCTCGAATCGGACGTGCCACTGGTCGAGGATGCCCATGTATCTCTTCACCTGATGTTTCGGGATCTTTGTCAGGTTTGAAGGAGTCCCGAGGTCTTCGAAATGCAATGCTGAATGCATCTTTGTTTGATATATAATGAAGTGTTGGATGACCTCCCACCACCGATGAGCCTCTGAAAGCGTTGCAAAGCTCTTTGGCAGCTCGTCGACTGCATAGCGACTTCTTCTTCCGCGGCAGCACCAAGGCACCCAGGTCTCAGTCTCAGTGGGGTGATACCCATTCATGGTCCATGATGATAAGGTGAAGCGCTGGAATCCTGAGATAACCTCATCAATCAGCTTTGGAGGGCATTCTCCACTCACGCCCTGTTTCATCACTTGATCTAGCATACTGCATCCATGATTTATGTGGGTGAGCGCAGCTAGATGGTTGCCCTGTATGGCTTCGAAGGCGACGAAGAGAATACAGGAGAGGAGAGCACGAGGGATACTTCTCTTTGATGATGCGCTGGATCGAATGATGTGAATGGCTCTTCCATAATGTTGCAAAGCATCCTTAATGAATGGACCCGCGCCACTGGTGCGTTGTAGGCGACTATCGCTGCCCAAAGTGACTGCGCCAATGGCAAACGCTGCGTGTCTGATGGCCGGCTCTTCACGGGCAATTTGTGGTATGAGCTGTGTGATGAGATCCGACGGAAACAGAGTAAACTGCTTGCTGAATGTCATCCAATACTCGAATTGATCTTTCTCGAGTTGTGCAGTGAACATGTACATCTCGTAGTTGGGTCGAATGAGCAGTGGGCGGTATTCCTGCAATCTACGTTCATTTCCCGTGGACTTTGGTGCGTATCCTTCGCAAGTTCGCTTTGATTTGCCGCAATTTAGACAGGATGGCTTCCCCTCATCGCAACGGATGCGTCGTTTTCTAATGATTGTGTTAGCTCGCTGCATCACAAGCATCGGTGAGAATTGATCGGAACGCATATCTCAGATGCAGTTGTTGTGTCTTCATGTTGCTCGTAACTCACTTGCATGTGATACAGCCTGCCCGAGACTTCGGAGCTTGTCTCCGGCGGTTTACCTTCGGCCGGTCCCTGAGGGCAAAGCTGAGGATCTGGGGCGCCGAAACCGGGGCCACCGGGGCCATTGGCTTTTGAAGAGCTCTATCTGCCATGGAAGGTCGAGCTTATGCTTTTCTGGTAAAACCGTGGAGTCGATGCTGGCGTTACCGAGGGCTTCGCACTCCCCGGCTCTGGGACATTCAATGGAGAATTTAAAGCGACGTGAAAGAGGAGCGGTAGGGCTGACATTTAAAGGTTGCCGCTACAATAGAGATACCTCCTGTCAAAATAGGCTAAGCAACTGATCGCGACCCCAACCGCCTCGCTTGTCCACCCACATCCGTCGATCCCAGCGTATGCAGCATAATTCGGCCTTCAGATGTTCCTTCAACGGCACCAAAATCTGACCCTTGACTCAGCTGCCCTATTAGAGACGCGGAAGCGAATTGACTGGAGCCATGTCGCGTCAGCTTACAACATCACCTTAGTATCATCTCCCAACGAGGAGTGAGGATTTGCAGCTAAACGCATTTTCCACAGAAAGAATATCGAGCTCTAGCAGCTTTATTGAGATAGCAGGTAGAAAGCTGTGGGCCATCTTGCCCATACTAGAGCCGGTACCCATGAAAGCACAATCAACGACCACACCAATCCTCATCAAGTGAACTCCAATAGCACGAATTCGATACCAGGGGGAAGGGGCGATGACAAGATCAAGCTGAAATTCGATTAATGCAAGGTCAGAGGAAAAACACGAATATCATTACTCGAGTACGGTACTACAGCATGTTTATATGATCAGCTCCAAACACAGACGTAGCCGTAGTGATACTTCTAAATGAGTGTGTATGAGTGTGCAAAAAGCAGTCCCCCGCAAGAAATTCGTATCAAAGTTTCCATTCAGTAGACATAAAAGACGGCGGTCTCGTCAGGGGAAGCCCTGAGCTTCTCATTGCGCTTCTTCAAGATGATCTTTCCAAGCCAAGCCAGCAAAGCAGTAGCAATGCTGAACGCGGCGCTGCTTGACATGGCGATGACATAACGAGGCTCGTCGCTGCTGGGCCAAAGATATGGGGTCCAAATGAAGCTGACGTTCATGATCATGGTCACCATGGAGATGGCCACTGCCTTTTTCTCTTTTGTTTGACCACAGACACTGCCGCACCAACCTAGGATCAACTGTTTCCGGAGTCAGCTACAATGGCAAAGTTTTGCAACGATTTTGGAGAGAGAATAATCGCACCGAGTTGACTCCGTATGTACCGATGGTGAAGATCACCATGGAGACGTATCGACCAGCCAAGTTCAT